TGTCACCCTCTTATATATACCAGACTACCCTATATTTAGTAATCTCCCGACAATTCACGAAGGTACAAGATATTTGCAGAAAGCATGGGGCGTGACACTAGTCACGTGACCTCGCTGACGCAACAATATGTTCGTCAATTGTTGTACTTAAGAGTTTGACCCACCCTACCCAGTGTCACAGCAGTTTTGATACCTGTGATGTGCACAAAACAGATAGCTCATTGTACGGCTTTGTGCTCAACTACAAACAACAACAACAAAAAAGATCTTATGAGTTTTTAAGTTTGTGTAGCGCGTCATCTAATATAACATTGTTTTATTGCATATTTTTAATTTCTTACAGTGTATTTTCTTAGGGTTTAGGCAAAGAGGGAATATTAAAATATTAATTGTGGGATTTCATCTTAAAAGTATTTCTGTTTCCTTTACCTTATTTATAAAGTCAGTTTCCCAACTTATTTTCTAAACAATTTGACTGATAGTGTTGGTAGTTGAATATTAGTTTTATTTGTTATTAAGCTCAAAACTATACAATGGGCTATCTGTGCTGTGCCCACCACGAATATCGAAATCTGTTTTTTTAGCGGTGTGAACCCTCAGACTTACCACTAAGCCACTATGGGGCCTGAATATTGGTAATTACTGTAATCATTATGCAAACAATCTAGGAACAAAATAGGACGGATATGGCTGATTATATTTTATTTCAGTGAAACAATACTACATATTGTTACATATAACGAAGTCCAAGAACTGCGGCTCTTGTACCTCATGTCCACATATACAAGAAAATTTGCTTCTGTTGGATATTCGCGCAAACATATACAGTTGACTCTCACTCTTATAACACATCGACGGCACCAAAGTGCAGAGTAAGAGCGTGACTTTGCGCAACGGTACGCGAACCATTGAGATGCAAAGACTAAGCTATGAAAAAAAAATCTAATTCTCAAATAAAAGCTTGTTTTAAATTTACACAAATTAATTTGAAGACATGAAATACGTCACAGTAACTGTAATGTTCCGAGTCTGCACTAAAAGGGAACTAACCACATTGATAATCAAAAAGTAAGTTGTGTTTTTAGCAGAAAGCTACATAATGGATTATATGCACTCTGCCACTGCAGGTAGTCGAAACCTGCATTTTAGTTTAACACAAACTTACCACTGACTCACCAGGGACTATTTTAATTAAACTATAAAATAAAACATAGATAAGTTTCTTGTAAACCCAATATCTAAAGAATGTGACAAAATATAACGTCAAAAGAGTTGTCTACATACATATATTTTTGTAACATGTTCTATCATTGGAATTCTTTTTGGATTATTTGGTAAACATAATGACAAATGCAGTCCGTCTAACGATAATGAATTAATTAATTTCTTCAATAACGTTTGCTACAGAATACATTCACTTGTGGGTCTAACTTCACAAACAAACTTTTAACAGAAAATCCAAAACTCATTTATGCCCAACTTACTTATAATGTTACTTGCAGAATTTCCTCACAAACTAATCAATAACAAGTATGCTGACAAACTCTCTAAGTAACTGAATTACAGACACGCTAACTCTCAATGTCCAACTCGCTAAGTGTGACTGAACTGATTAAATCATTAATTGACTCATTAATTCACTAGTTCAATGATTAACTCACTGATTTTGGAATATATATTGTACCCTCATTCTTACATAGAAAATAACATTTCTATATTCTACAGAAACATTGATTTCATGAAATTGTTAGATATATTGTCTCAACATCATGATTAACTCCCTCTAACAAACAAATAACTAAACTAAAATATTAAAACAATAGCTTACAACAATAAATACATGTGTATGTGTATTGCATTTCATAAATGATTGGCCTTTATATGATCCTTTTTCCGTTATATATATATAAGTGTACGGGTGTGTATGGAGGAGAGAAGAGTATTTTTGTATCATCGTTGTGATCTTAATTTAACTCATGATATTGAAATTCAAGTTTTTTTGTCTTCATTCAGTGGCATTTTTATATTGTAAGATCGTAACTTGTATCTTTGTTAAAGGGTTGTGTTGGCCATCATGCCTAAATGTAGTGATATCTAATGTGCACAGTAAATGACACCAGATTCATGACCAATACACAGATTTTTTATTTGATTAAAAAAAGTAAATTAGGGGTGACCAGGGACAGCCTGAAGGCAGAGAGAAGAAGAAATATATAGTATGCCAATACATATTTAATATATCCCGTCTCCTTTGGTTAGTAAGATGAACATGAAGTGTATAGTCTTAACAATAGAATGCTGGACATGTAATATGGTAAACTCTACCTATCTATTATTCTGGTTCATTCTCCTGTGGTCTCATATATACTTTATTGTGGGAAAGGCTGTGTAAAAGTGAATCATATTTTGCACTGGTAGATCAGGTGATACTTAGAGGTTATGTATATTGTTACGTCTCCGTTCGTTAGTTAATTTTCCGTAACTTCGTTCCGACGAAACTTTAGCGACACATGTCTTTTCTTAAATAAAACTGGTCTATTCTTTCCGAATACAACTTTACGATACACCTAATTTCAACAGTCGCTCTATAACAACGCTATAACTCACGTCTCACGTGGCCAACAATACATTCAATTACTCATTACCTCCCCGTCGCTTCGTGGCCGGTCTTATATATACCAGACCTGTCCATTCGACCTGTACACGCGTCATTTATTTGTTTTTTGTTTACTGTGTCCAGTCTCTTTTGTTCTTCAGTTCAGTTAATGTCAGGATTCAATTAAATTCCATGATACGTTACCTGGTAATTCCTTCTGTGATTTGTGGTTTCTAACCGAAAGATAAATTAAAGCACCTGAGCATATAACAATCTTAGAAGTTTAATTGAGATATCGATGTTTTCGTGGGTTTCGTTTTTATTTCTCTTATTATTGGAAACGGTCTCTTGTTCGTTTCTAAAAGAGTGACATAATTTTCAGTAAACTGGAGAAAATTTTGTTTACTTGTTCATTGGATTTTACGTAAAGCTACTCGAAAGTTATCTGTGCTAGCCATTCCTAATTTAGAAGTGATAGATTAGAGGGAAGGCAGCTAGTCAAAACCACTCACTGCCAACTCTTGGCTAACTCTTTACGAACGAATATTGGGATTGACCATCACGTTGTAACGCTCCCACGGCTGAAAAAGCGAGCATGTTCGGTGATGGGATTTAAAAACATTACTTGTAGTTTGAGAGTCGAGTACATTAACCACCAAGCTTTTCCAGGCTTCTGAAGAAAAATAACTTTGTTATTTTACGATGCCAAAGGCATTGATAATTACGCAACACCTCCTTTCAAGCTCCGATGAGCAAAATTTGGTTCCTGTGACAAGTAATTTGTCAATGTAATATACTTAATTTTGATATTAATAACATGAAGGTCTTATATTACTGCCAAACTTACTCAGTTATAGTATTCAACAGATGTATAAAGTGAAGAATCCTGTTGTTAGCAATTAAATAATCCCACATCCCACATATACTTTTTAATTTTTGTCTTTTATTAAAGAAAAAAAAAGGAATAGGTGGCAGCCTAATCTCTGACGTCAGTAGTATGCTTGCTTGTTGCTGGTTGAATTTTGATGTCTGTTAGAAGCCTAATACTTTTAATTAGTGTGAATTTTAATACTACTAGTACGGTCTGCAATAAGATAATAACACCAACAGACAGTTTATTGTGATCAAATTAAGCTATAGGTAAGTTGTAGACTTAATAATTAACAGTAATTGTGTATATACCTATAATTATATAAATTATATTCTTGTTCGTAAACCATTCCTTGATCAGTTTCACGACAATGACGGGGCCAGTGTTTGTAATTGTTTTATTTAACTTTTAAGCCAAAGTATTTCGTGTGTGATAACCTAAGTAAATTACTAAATAGTTATGTTTTTACTATAACTAAATAAGTTAACTGGTGGCTATTAACGTTTTCACTGTGATTAATGTTCTTACGTTAGTACTTGGTATATTTAATTTAACGTTAGTTGTAAACATTATTTATTAACGTTTCAATCTTTCATCTTCACTACATCAAGATGGTTTTACTTTTGTCATAACATATCTCAAAGTTCAACTCAGTCAAGTTAAGCTTGATTTAAAAAACGTTAACTTTAGTATAAGTTAACCTCCTGTTTTGTGCAAGCATTGCAAAGCATAAAATACTATTGGTACTAAAGTAAGTGATAACTTAAAATTAAGTGGTTTACAAGATGAACCGATAAAGTAACACCAGAGAGAACCTTCCATTTATGGGTTATTCTCTGTGAAAGGGTATTTAAAAGGAAGGGAAATATGGTTATGCTGATTGAAAAATTTATTTATTGCCTATGGTTCTGTTAACTTTTGTAAACATAAAGAAATGACCAGAATTATATATATCTGTCAGTAAACTGAAATGCAAAATACATTTCATGAGTTCACAAAAGACATACAGACATTGGTATACATTTGGAGTACACATTACACCACCAGAGCAGCATCAAAATTACGTTAATAGATTGCCTAATATTCAGGAAGAATCTAACATTTATAAAACTAAGAAAAGTAAAAAATAACAAGCAATTGTAAAACTCCTCAACTATGGATCCTGAGTATTGGATAAAGCAAAAAAACAAAAGCACTCAGAACAAGAAGAAAAATAGTGATATTGTATCTCAATGGGTTCTCAGAAAGTGTAGGAAGATCAGCAAAAGCCACATAATAAGATCAGTCTTTATGAGCTTGTAAAGAAAAAGACCAGAGAAGGTTTGCACTCTAATATAAAAAGAAGGATGAAGTTTGTTGTATCCAATCAGCTAAAAAGACTTAGCTACCCTGAAACATTCAGGTAGTTCAAAACAACACCTTCATTGGTCCGGATGAGTCTATAGCACTGTTGTCTTGCAACTAGAAGACTTAGGTTCAAATCCTGATAATGCTACAAACAGTGGATGATTTAGATTATTTGTAGATCATGTTTTATTAGTATAATTCTTATAATTAATGAACAAAAGTCTTAAAATATGGCATGGCAATGAAGGGATGACCTGAAGGGCCAGTGTATCAGTAGACAGTAAATTATGACATCTTCTGATTTCTACTACTAATGCAGTTTTTTTTTTTACATTTTGAACTTCTATCCTATGTGAATCTTTTTTGCTTTACCTTATCAACAGCTTTTAGAAAAGGACGAGCAACGTCTTTTAGAGTGATTTTGATAAAAAGAACAAAAGGAGAGAGAGAGAGAAACTGTAATAAAGAACTTGGTTAAGTAAGCATGACAGGAAAACTTTCCTAGGGTCTAACTTCAAAATAATGTTTCTAAATCATCTCTGACATTAAATTCTGTACTTCTAAAAATTGAGCCGAAGATGATTCTTCCCCCCCTCATTCTCCATCACCACCATTTTCCTGTTTCTGGGGGCCACATTAAAAAAAAATCTACCAATTGGTGAAAGTTTTTTGCTCTTAACGATTTTTCAAAAATAATTTTTCTGATGAGGTGATCAACCTATGGAATAAATTGCTTTCAGTAATGGTAGCAAATGAACATGTTTTAGAGGAGATTAGATGGTTTGGAGATCAGAGTTAGATATAGAAAAAGGAGTCTATTTAGTTTATCATAATTAAAGTATTTTATCTGAAAACATTAAATTAATGCATTCTATTTCATTGTTAAAATGGTTTGTTAGAAAGGTTTAATATAGCTTGTTTTTAAATGCTTGGTGAGCTATTCAGTCCCAACTCAGAAAGTTGATCAATCTCTTAAGTATCAGGATCATTTATTTAAAGCCTGTTTTTCATGCCTGTCTCAGCATTTCTCTTATTCAAGATTGCTGTGGAGGCCAACACCATACAAGAGTGTAAGAGGAGAATTAATTATTTCCTGAAAAGTAAATGGCAGACTTAAGTTTTTAACTTGTCTCAAGGGTGGATATGGAAGGACAGTATTGAAGAACCAAGTGGTCCTTTGTAATCTGTATGATATTTTATGTTATTGATTCCCTACTGTTTGGTTTGCTTACACGGCTTGGATGATTTAGACTTTTATTTCTTTAAACCACTTTTTTAAAACAAAAATTGAAAAAAACACTGATAGATCGTAATATCCAGATATTTCATTAGTCACTTTTCTAGTTTATGTGGTGCACTAAATTAAATCTACAAATTTATTTATTTTTACTTCTACCAAAAAACAGTCATTTACCACAGCTAATACATAATCACAGATAGTGGACCCACTTCTAGCTGCAGCTTTTATGCATTCTTTCTTTCATTCCTAAAGCTCCTGCTTTAGATTTTTTACTGGTATTTACCACCTTATTCATTATCTTTTCCTTTATACTTTTCCAAACCATATTCTGTCATTCTTTACTGTAGAAACTTTAGGATGGTGTCATCTGATTTGTAACGGACAATTCATTGACTTTATTGAATACAATTAATTTTCACAATGTAGATATGCTTCAAAAAATAAGCATGTAGATTTGTTTTTTTCACCCTTGTACATTTGTCTTGTTTTCTTTTTTTGATACATGGAGATTTTTACAGATGAGTAGATCAGTGGTGGATCTTATTTATATTGAAGAAAGCCTGTGTGCCCATTCTCATTTTATTAGTTTTGCAGTTTGATTCCAGAGCATTGTTTATTTAAATATTTGTGTGTAAACATTACATGTGCCACTCCTTGTACCCTGGTTCCTTTCTCAAGGGCTATTTATTTGTTTACTTGCAATATATAGGAGTTTTTGTCTTGGCTTAATGGTATTTTTGTTCACAAATGTCACAATCACCTGATAACGTGTTTCAATATTACATGTTTAAGTATTTTCAATAGAAATAAAATTTTTCTCAAACCATAGTGTGTATAAGCAGAAAAAAAGTTGGTGGTTAGATAGTTGCCTTCCCTCTAGACAGCAGTTCAAAATTATCTTGTTATGTAGCTTTGTGTTTAACAACAAAGAACTATAGTAGCAATATTTGCTTGGCTAGCTATAATAATCCAAGACATAATAATAATTAAAAACCAATTTTGATTAGTTGATTATTTTCTTGAGTTGTGATACTAATTGATGAGGCTGAACAAACTTGAGTAAAATGAAAATTCATAATGACAGAGATATCTAAATTTTCTAATGCAAACCCATTTGTTATGGCCAGCTTTGATATTCAAGCATTATTCACTAACATCCCACTTGTGGAAACAATTAAAATAATTATTAAACAGTTATTCCAAAACAGTATTTCAATTATTGGATAGGTGAAATAACTGGAAACTTTAATTTTGATATTTTAATGACATAAATTAATTTAATCATAATAGTTGGATAGTTGAAGTAACCGAACACAGTAATAATCGGAAGCTCTTGTTGATTAGTTTCTGTGACATTAATTGATTTAATTTTAATTTCAAGAAATTTAGTATTTTGTACAGTGCTGATTGATGTATTCAATGCTTGTAGGTAATCATCTGTGAGTGATGCAAAAACTAATAGATTGTGTAAGTGAAATTTGTTGTGACTTCTTTAAAGGAGGAAGACCTTGTTAGAATTTCTGTTAGACCAGAAGTAAGTAAAGAGAAACTGATTGGAAAACTTTTTCGTGTACATGATAGTAAAATATATTGGTGACGTGTAACTAAATCAGTATAACTTGTTTTAAAAAAATTCAAAGTGACTCAGTCTACCACCAGTGGTAATTATACTAGTCAGTGTAGTTATTAATTCTTTCAGCACTTATTATAGTTTTCATGCTATAAATTTTAGATTAGTAGCATTTGTTAATGAAATGTGGCAGATTATCAGTAGACATTACAGTGCTTGCACATGCAAAATATCAATTTTTTTTATTAAGTCTTAAGGTTTGTAAAACAATGTTTTTCTCATGCCTTTTTTTTCACATGTTGCCTATCCAACATGCCAAGTAATTTTCATTTTAAGATTAAAAATACTTTTTTGCATCAGAAAATTTTTATAAAGATTTTGCATGCGAAATTTAACCTCCATATAATTATAAAAAAATTGTTAAGAAAAAACTATATTTTATCTGTAATTTTCACTATTGAATCCCTGTACGGTTCAGTTGATCTGACTGATCTCATAACAACCATAAAAAATTAGGAAAATATATATATGTTATGCTTTTTTTGTTCTAGAATGACTACAAATTAGGAAATATATATATATATACATTATGCTTTTTTTTGTTCTAGAATGACTACAAATTATTACACAAAAACACAAATGTTTAGTCCAAATAGCTTAAATCTCATACCATTATACATATTTATTATTTTTATTATACTGACTTTACAGTCATGCCTGGCTAACATTACAGAAGTTGCAATGAATGATGCGGCACATGTGCACTATGTTACAATATCCAAGAGTATAAAACTGGCCTTTATAAATGACCTGTCTTGGCTGTGTTTTGTAAAATACAGTCCCATTTAATTTATAATACATATGTATATTATATACATTGTCATAATATAAAAGACTGTTTGGTTTAAATATTAGTGATTAAATATTTTCATTATTTTTAAGTCTTGTTATAATAAGAGTTGAAAGAAGACAACTGTAGGTTTTGTTGATAACTAATTGGTGTCGAGAATGTAGAAAGTGGCCAGACGAATATGTAATAAAGATATAAACAGCATGAGACGAGCGGGAAGCAGCAGACAGATAAAAGCAAAGAGAATATAGTTGGTGTGAAG